GCCCCCCCGCGGCGGCCTCGGTGGGGCCGCCGCCCCCCGCCGCTCATGGAGCCCTGTCCCGCGGGTGTTCTCCCTGCTGCCCCTTCCTCTGCCTCCCGTCCTCCCGCGGGGGCCCCTCGCTTTTCCTGCCGCCCCCCTTCCCTAGCTCCCCGCCCCCAGCCTCTCTCCGAGTCCCCTCTCCCTCGGGATGCCCCCTCAGACTGGAGTCCCTGCCCTTTTCCTGTGTGCCCTGGCTCCTGTTCTGCCCTCCCCCGCAGGGGTGACTGCCCCTTTCCTGCTGCCTCTGTCCCCTGCTTCCTCCAGCTGGGGCCTGTGCCCCTTTCCTGCTGCCCCCCCCTTCCCTAGCTCCCCGCCCCCAGCCTCTCTCCGAGTCCCCTCTCCCTCGGGATGCCCCCTCAGACTGGAGTCCCTGCCCTTTTCCTGTGTGCCCTGGCTCCTGTTCTGCCCTCCCCCGCAGGGGTGACTGCCCCTTTCCTGCTGCCTCTGTCCCCTGCTTCCTCCAGCTGGGGCCTGTGCCCCTTTCCTGCTGCCTCCCCTGTCTGGGTGCCCGGTACCCTGCTCCCCACCAACTGTCCTTTTCCTGCTGCCCTTTCCTTGGTGCCCTGTCGCCTGCTTTCCTCCAACCTGTGCTTCACCTGCTGGCCCTTTCCTTGGTGCCCTGTCGCCTGCTTTCCTCCAACCTGTGCTTCACCTGCTGCCCCTTTCCTTGGTGCCCTGTCGCCTGCTTTCCTCCAACCTGTGCTTCACCTGCTGCCCCTTTCCTTGGTGCCCTGTCGCCTGCTTTCCTCCAACCTGTGCTTCACCTGCTGCCCCTTTCCTTGGTGCCCTGTCGCCTGCTTTCCTCCAACCTGTGCTTCACCTGCTGCCCCTTTCCTTGGTGCCCTGTCGCCTGCTTTCCTCCAACCTGTGCTTCACCTGCTGCCCCTTTCCTTGGTGCCCTGTCGCCTGCTTTCCTCCAACCTGTGCTTCACCTGCTGCCCCTTTCCTTGGTGCCCTGTCGCCTGCTTTCCTCCAACCTGTGCTTCACCTGCTGCCCCTTTCCTTGGTGCCCTGTCGCCTGCT